TTTGGAGGCCTACGATTTCCTCTACACCTATTCTGAGCTACAGTTTCGTAGCCATTAAAAATGGCTATTTGCCACGCCAAGTTCCGGGACTCCTCTCTCTGCTCTCTTCCCGTGCACACGTTGGTTGCTGTTCGAAACATGTTTCTTATAAGCGCCCTTTTCGTGTGAGAGGGGTGAGAGGAGAGGTAATGAACCAAGATATTTTTACTACTTGGCTTTCGGTACCACTTTGTAATGTAGCCATTTTCTGATAGGTGAATTTGTACGTTCAAAAATAGAAACCATTTTTCTTTCGGCTTTTCTCGGGTGAACTTGATATACTCTGACTGTGCGTTTAACAATTCGAAGCATTTGTCCAATTCCTCTTGTGTTGAGCAAAGGACAAAGCAGTCGTCTACATACCTACAGTAGAGTAGCGGCCCGAGATCAGTCACCGGTGCTTCCACCTTAGACATAAATGCAATGGCAAGGCTTGGAGCCAGTCGTTGTCCCATTGCCAACCCTCTTATTTGAGCGCAGTACTTTCCAGACCATCTGAAGTTTGAGCAGCTCAAGCATTCTTTTAAGAGTGCCATCGACCGTTCTATCTTGAAGCCATACATGTTTATTTCTCCTTTGTGTTATATAAGGAGTTCGATTATGGCTTGCATTTCGGAGTCATTCAACACGTTTGTATAAAGGGCGGTAACGTCGAAGGACTCCACCACATAGGCGCTGTTAGGCTGTTCATGGAAACATGAGACCCCCTTCCTGAACTGAACACAAAAGTGCCTAACAGATTTCCACCATAAAAGTTACAAATATTAATCATTTATACAAATAGAGGCGTCATTAAAGAGAATGTAGATAAATGAAAACGTTCATTGATACATCAGCGTAAGACAATTCTGAGATATCATTAGGCAAATGAAATGTACAGTGGATACAGGGTAATAGTTTGTCTTATCACCTGCCTTCGCATTCCATAACAAAGGTATATACCTTGCTTATTGGAAAACTTACATTAGGAACAAAAAGCAATGGTGGACCAGAATAAAGGTAGACAAATAGAACAGAACACTAACGACACTGAATCACTTATAACATACAACAATCTTAAGCTTGCGAAGGGATTACTGAATAGTAACATTTACTGGAAATTTAAACATAAACCGGCATAAGGAGTTCGTCTGTGAGACTGCCAAAGCGTTTGATGAGAAAGAAAGAACAACACACAAAGTTCTTAATGGAAATATGCAGAAGCTGAGATTTCAAAATAGCGATGAAAATGAAATTCAAGCCAGTCCAGTGAACTACTAAAACTTATTGGTAAACTTGGATCTATCATTTATCACACAATATTAGCAATCACAGCTAATTTCCCATTCATGCGTTGCTCACCATGTCCACACCAGGCGGTGGTGGCTCATCGTTTCCATATGAATCAGGCTCTTCCTGCTTCAATTCCACTTTTATACCTTCACGATCCTTCTCACGGTCTTCTCTGTCTCGTTCTCTATCTCTCTCTCTATCACGATCCTCCCTTTCGTCTCTCTCGCCGCGATCGTCACGTCGCGAACGCTTCTCACGGCGATCACGGTCATCACTTCTTTTTTCTCTACGGTCGCTATCATCGTCTTTTTCGTGTCGCCTTGAACAAATTCCTTCTAATGCTTTTATTTCCAGACATTCAATCTATGATCATACATGAACAGTAATATAATACCGCATTAAAATGCCTTCTAACGGTTTACCGCCTCATCGTGGCTGGTAGGTGATCCTGGTGTCGGGATGCGATGTACAGCGGGGGGATTCGCGCCGCTGGACAGGGTCTCCCAAACTAAGAAGGAGTCCGGAGTTTCCGTCAGGAAACCTAGCTAAACGTAAACTAATACCAGGATCCACCACCGCTCTGGTATCAAAGTCGCATGGTGGCAAATCCCCTTCCACAAGGTTTGCGACTGCCTGTGGTGATGAAGACCTGGGACAGACTTTAGCCAGGCTAATCTCGGGATTCCAGGGAACCATAATGGCCAGCAAATCTCCGAAAAATAGAGATTACGCTGGGGCCCACATAACCAGTGAGGACGGGCCGTTCTAGCACCAAGTAAGTATTCAATTGTCTAACAACGTCTCTAGAAATCAAATGAGGCACCTTTTCTTCCTGTCGCTGTCATCATCTCGTCGATCCCGTTTCTTATCTTTTTCGCGTTCCTCACGACGTTTTCGTCCTAAAAATCGCCTAAGGACTCAGGTAGAACATGAAACTCGTTCAAAGTTTCCAGATTTTAGAAACAATAAGGTCGGTAAGGGTTACCCACAACAAAACTCTCTACAGTAACGAAATGAGCGACCAAAGGCTATAAATTCCACCTTCAGCACTTCCACTCCGTGAACGATGCCGTCTACTACTTCGTTCCGGCCGTTCACGTTCCCTTTCTCTGTCTCTTTCGCGATCCTTGTCGCGATCTTTGTCACGGTCACGCCGCTCATCACGCTCGCGATCTCGTCCACTCTCACGGATTCTCCTGACCAATGTTTTTATATTTTAAACTCCAGACAAGAAATTTCGAATTTATAAGAAAATACACAATAACTATGAAGAAACGAAAGATCGAACCGACCTCGAGTCACGCTTTGATGGACTTCGTGATCTGCTACGTCTTTTGTGACGCCGTCGTTCATCCTCACTACAATCAACATTGCTGACTCAAATAAAACCGGAACTACTGCAATAATTGAGAAAATATCGAATCTGAAAGTAAAATTACCTCTCGTCGAAATCTCCTGACTCCCTTCTCGGTCCTAACGCATCGAAATCACGGCCCATTAATGGTGGTGGTCGACCTATACCTTAAGATAACATCACTGAGAATTTTTCACTTTCTGAAAAAATAAGCACATTACGAAATGTACGTCAATTTCAACAGAAGAGAAAACCAAAAAGATACCACTAGTTCCAGAAGGAAACCGATTTGTGGAAAAACCAGGCGGCGGCAACAAAGTGTTGAACCCAGGTGGAGGCATGTTTGTCATGGGCATCGCCATTTGTGGCGGACGCATACCAGGTGGTGGTAATGATGGATTAAAGCTGAAATGTAGCCCAAGTACAGACCTTTCAAGTATTCATATGGAAGCGCAAACTGGTAATGAATGAAGCATCCTCTAAATATTTCCAAAAACTGTAACAACGTAAGGAATCCAATACAGGAAAGAAAATAGTGCGCTAAAAAACATTAGGTAGCAAAAACACTAGGAATACTTTCTAAAGAGAATTATTTGAAAATCTAATACATACCCCGGTGGTGGCATCGACATATCCAATCCACTTCCCGATCCAAGAGTTGGAATTGTTTGCGGTTCCAAATCAACACCTGGTGGTCCATCCACTCCAGGAGGCCCTACAATGTCAACTCCGGGCGGACCATCTGAAAAGTATCATTAATAGTGTACCAAACAAATTGTCAATATTGTAATATGCATACCCATAATGTGGATTGGTGGCACAGTGGCGGGCCCAGGTGTAGGACCAGGAGCAATTCCTGGAGGAGGCTTACTGAAGTCAACAACGGCTGTCGCAGATGGAGTCTGCAAAATATCTGAGCAATGAAAAATAACGAAAATAAAAATTCCTGGACTATAATACATGTACCTGAAAACTAGGATTTTGTTAAGTGAAAGTGAAATAGATCAAAACTATTTGTCTTACCACTCCTGGTGGTCCTGTTGGAGCGGTGGAAGGCGGAGGACCAGCGATTACAGTTCGCATGATCGGCTAAAATATCACGTTTTTTGAAATCTGCCCGTATTAAACCTGCCAATTATAACATGTGTACGGATCTTCTTTGTACATAATTTGACACACATTGCTTATTTGAAAGTTTCACCAATTTCCTATCGAAAAGGCGGATTCATGATTACAACATCCAAGATAGTTGTAAAACCCAGTCGTAGTTCTCTATGATTCCAAGTTCGTGCACCTATAGGAATACAAAAAAAAACCCAGACGGTGTCAGTGTAAAACAGTATGATAGGTAATTCTTCGTATTTTTGTTGAGCAAACGCGAGGTGTTATTATTCTTTATTCACGAATAAGCTGACGTTTCGGCGGATTTCGCCTTCCTCAGAGCCTGGAAAGGTCAAGTTCATAGCAATCTGCTCGGCCAGACGCCTCCATAACCAAACAAAGAAACTCTAAACCAAGATTTCAATCACACTGAACACAACTTTGCACACTGACCGCTTTCTATGAGGTTTCCACTAAGTATGTCAAGTAGAGACCAACCGCACACAAATCACATGGAAGCATAACGTGCCCCTACCATCAGAATAGCAGTCTTATATACTGCCCTATATCACGCGTGATAATGAGGCATTCTTCCCTGTGGTTCATTTTCGGATTTCTGGAATTAATCCAGAATGCTTCGAGAGTTTTTCGCGCCTGTGATCTTGATTCGCTTGCGAGGATCATGACACATACTTCAAAGTCCTCCCCGTTATGTCTCTGGGTCCAATGCGTGCATAGAGGGGTATTCGGCCTATGTTTGCCGGCAAGGTGTTCTTTTATGCGGACACAGAAGGGTCTGCCCATTTCGCCAATGTATTCGTCTCCGCACGCCTTACAGGAGATCAGATAAACTATACCCGAGCTCATGCAATCACCATCTTTACCATTGGGGCAAATTGTGCAATTTTAAGTTGCACACCGGTTACAACTAGCTGGCGCTTAAGATTACTCGGTGGTATTTCAACTACGTTTACCGAATTCTCTAAACCCGCCCTTCTTAAGCAGCATTTTATAGCTGTGCTTATATCATTTGAGATAAAGGGTAGGATAAACGGGACCCTTCTATCGCTAGAGTTGTCGTTTGGATGCCTAGGATTTCCTGTACACCTGACCTGAGCTAAAGTTTCGTAGCCATTAGAAATGGCTATTTGCCGTGCCAAGTTCCGGGACTCCTCTCTCTCGTCTATCCCCTCTGTCTCCGCATAAAAGAACACCTTGCCGGCAAACATAGGCCGAATACCCCTCTAAGCACGCATAGGACCCAGAGACATAACGGGGAGGACTTTGAAGTACGTGTCATGATCCTCGCAAGCGAATCAAGATCACAGGCGCGAAAAACTCTCGAAGCATTCTGGATTAATTCCAGAAATCCG